AATATAAAGTTCCAGCATCATATTAATCGCGTACATGCATTTGCCGTTTTGGAAAAATCATATCTTTCTTATATGGTGTCAAATGGAGATATCTTCTATATGAAAGTTATAGCTCTCGGTGGGATCTATAAATTTATAGTTTTAGATTTTTGCATTTGAGATCATTAAGATGCTTAAAAAATAATAATATAAAGTTTCAGTATCGTATTAATCCCGTACAAGCCCTTGCCGTCTTGAAAAAATAGTATCTTTCTTATATGGCGTTAAATTGAGATACTTTTTATATGAAAGTTATAACTCGCAGGAACTTCACCTTTGTCTTCTTCCATGGTGGATGTCTATTTGGTAGGTGCGGTGGCGACAGTGAGAGGCCACAACGGTGGAGAGGGGGTGAGGTGGGGGGTGTGAGTGTGAGTGTGGGTGTGGTGGCTTGCAGTGGTGGAAATAGACAACATCTACAGGAGAAAAGAGAGAAGGACAAGAGCCAAGTGTTAAGAGAGATTAAAGCCTAAAGAGGAGTGATTTTCTCAATCTTCTGCAGCACATCTCTCTTAAAACCTCAAAACTTGTTTTCTCAATTGTCTATAGCAAATTTTAAAGGAAAGGGGACACAGAGGGTTTGGTGTAGGCAGTGCATGATGAATTAGATATTAGATATTAGAGTTCTAATTGGTTTATTGTCCCATCCGTGATCTAAACTCATAAGTTATGCTCATACGAGTTATAATATCGCACATCCAACCATAATACAGGGTCTGGTTCCAGATATAGTAGAAGATGTTACGCAAGATGTGTAATTCTATTGTAACCTACTGCCATATTAGCTAGTATACATATGAAAATAATAATAATTTGGGCCTCGTGGACATGCTACCAAATCTGGAGTATTCAATCCGTTTCAAAACATTTTCTCCCCGATGAAACACTAGGACACACGTACAGGAGTCGTGGTATGGACCTAACTCAGCGGTGCAGTTGAAGGTAATGCAGCACGTTGCTTCATTTAAACGAAAACTTTTAGGTGAGCGTCTCCTGGTCGTCAACTTCAGGCTTTTGGCTTGCTCACACACCATACCATTTGGTGTACCTAAAATTCTGCGTTATCCGGTGAGACACAACCGTGGATGGACGTTGCTAGAGTGACAAACCAACACGACGAGCACGGGACGGAATGCTTACTGAATATTCCTGCCCAGACGAGCAACACGAATGAAAAGCTGAAAGCAACACGATCGACCGAGTAAAGCAAGAACTTGTACGAGAAAAAAAGGCACGATTTTTTCCGTGTGTCTTGCAAGCAAAGTTTATATATATATATATATATATATATATATATATATATACACACGTACTATTCTGTAGCTGGCCACAGAATAAGTTATTCTGTGGCCACTTTGAGTTACGATAATTACTATACTAATTTACGAGATTACGGTAACTCTCTCATAAGTGATTTACTATAGTATTATGGTAAGTATTATCTTGAATTATAGTAACCATGTATCGTAAATGTGTATTGTCATTATCGTAAATTGGTATAAACATTATCGTAAATCAAGGTGGCCACAGAGTAAGTTATTCTGTGACCAGCTGCAGAATAGCCTTACCGTGTGTATATATATATATATATATATATATATATATATATATATATATATATATATGGCACAAAAAGAGGGTTTAAAAGGTACGGCACCGGGGCAGTTGGCCAATGAATAGCGTTATTATGTTTTGCGTTTGGTGAGGGTTTTTGTGAAGCCTGACAGCACAACAGACCCTAAACAAGCAAGCGGCGAGCGGCCGAGAAAAGCAAAGAGCAACGAGCAACGTGCGCTGCGTTCAGTGCTTTTAGTTGTTGCCCGCTCCACGCTCCATAGTGATTAGCACAAACGATTAAGCCAAGCTTCACTAAGCATCACATGCTTCGTTAGAAAATATAATAAAAGGTAGAAAAGGAACGGAACCGACGATTTCATGAAATCGCCGTCGCATTACGCGAAAGAAGCCTCATGTAGTCATGTTTGAGTCCTTCCATTACGCGAAATCTTTATCGCTGTCGCATTACTGAATAACTCTGAACGTTTGTTGTCTGCAGGCCAGATCGCGGCCACACGAGCATCGCATTGGCGATCCGGCTCGTCGCTCTCGCGTTTCCCGTGGCGGCTGCGTGCAGGCGTGCGTCGACGCCGATTGCCGATGTTTTTTTTTTTTTTTTTTTACCGTCAACCAATTTTACGTCTCTCTTCTCATTAGTTTGCTAATGTCTAATGAACTATAAGACCTGGAGGTTTGTATATCTGGGCTTTGGCCCCTTCTCCGCTTGGCCCTCGGGCATCGCACCTCGTGCCGTGCACCTCGGGCCGGCACCGACGCCGATGCGCATAGCGACCGTGCCTCCTAACCGACCCGGCCACTCCACTCTGCGCAGTTCAAGAGGCACCACTAGATAGTCAGCCTGTTCGCTTGCTCGTAAACGATCGTAAATTTTTAGCCGGGAACAGTGTTTTTCTCTCACATCAAACCAGCCAGTAGTAAATAATCCACGATACGATACGGTCTTCCGAACAGGCTAAGTAGCGACCTAACCAAACCAGGCGGCCCATTAATTAAAATTTAAACAACACAGCTGCGCGCCCGGCCGCTGCGGTGTCGCCGAGACGCCGACGGGCGACGGCCGGCGGGTCCGGCTCCGATTGGCCCCAGCGAGTATATTGTATATTGAGGCCTCGTTTAATTCTCAACTAAATTCTCCAAAAGTGCTACAGTAGCTATCATATTGAATCTTGCGATACGTGCATGGAGCATTAAATGTAGACGAAAAAACTAATTGCATAGTTTGATGGGAAATCGCGAGACGAACGTTTTGAGCCTAATTAGTCTATAATTAAACACTAATTGTTAAATAAAAACGAAAATGCTACGGTAGCCAAATTCCCAAATTTCGCGCAACTAAACAATGCTGAAGCTCCCTTTTGACGATCGTGCGCACGCACTGCGTCTAGGTCTACTGTCTACGGAGTACTACTGTCTAGAGCGGCGGTAGGTCTTGAAGGGAGGACGCCTGCACGTGGGCCCGAGGCATCGCGGGATTTAACTGGTCTGGGCACGACAATGCTGTCGCTGGGCCCGCGCCAGCTCGGCCTTTTGCCTCCAGCCGCAGCGTGAAATGAACGGTGGGTAGTGGGCAAGTACTAGCAGATGAGATCGACCGACCACCCCCCGGAAGGCTAGAACCGCATGGCTGCACTGCCATTTCCGGGTCGATCTATAGCACCACGCTCTACGCAACCACATGTCCACGCACGCAGCCAAGACATTTTTGCAAAGTACTCGTACTACTTGGAGCTAGTAAGCCTGCACTTGCTGGCTGCAGCAGCCACTGTGCAATGCAATGATTTATTCTTTCTCGGATGCACATTGCGCAGCGTGTCAAGTTGGCACCTTAGCCAGCTTTTGCGACGGTACGGGACGCGCCTGGCCTTGGTGACTCGGAGCCGAAGGGAGCTGTGTCTCTAGTCATGCGCAAGTGCAAGTGCGAGCTCGTCTCGCTTTGCAGAATCAGTAAGCCACAGGCACCGCTGCAAATCACACCAACCAGCCCTTTCCATTTTTTTTTCTCCCTCTCCCTCCCTCTTGGTGGCCAGCATGAAAATGTCAAATCTCGGTTGTTTAGACTAGACCGGAAGACAGTGTGTGTGAGGGTGAGAGAAAGAGGGGGTAGGCGCACGCACCAAATAAAGGTGGCGGGCGGGGCGAGCCCGCGCTAATGCTTCCGATGCAATCAATCGGCAATCATGCGAGCACCTGCAGGTTAAGCTACCAGACCAGCTGCTGCTAGCATTGCCCTGCGTGCGACTCCTCGATGCTGCAGGCAACGGACGGCCGGACGACGAGGCGAGCACGCACACGGCTTGGTGGCCAGCGCCCGGCGCCCGGCAGGCCGTCGTGCAGCACGCACGCACGCGTGCGCGTCCGGCAACAGCGTCTGCTGGCGTTATAAAAGCTGCCCGCAGACGAGGGGGGTCGGAGGGGCCTCGCGGTGTATGGGTCTCTGCTGAGAATGCCGACGATCGGGATCAGGCTGCGTCCGTCATGGATCAATGCCTTGCCCTTCAGAACATGACATCAGCTAGTTTTTTTAAGAAATAGTTAAACCTTTGGATGTTTCGTCGCTCCTCCGCCTCCCCCCCCCCCCCCCCCCTACAGGACGTCTGCTCGTGCTCAGTACTACTAGGACGGCCGAGTACTGTAGCGCAGGGCCACCGTTGCTGTGCTGGTTGGAAATGTGTCGTGAAGGACGGGAGGGGTTGGTGCCGTGTACGCGTCACGGGCAAAAAAAGGCTATGACTGAGGTCCTAACCCTGACAACAAAACAGAGGTTAGGGATGCTGTCTATTACTGTACTACTCCTAGCTAAAGTACAGGAGCAGTTAACTGCGTCGGCATGCAGCTAAGTCAAACACAACCAGGAGCATGCAGTATCTGTGGCCCCGTTCGCTTCCATTCCAGAACATAGTTCCTGTTCTGCTCTGCGGACACCAGCAGACCCGGTTGTCGGATCGAATATTACAACTGGCCAGTGACCAGCCCCGTAGCGTCAACGTCCCAGGTGATATCGTGATCAACGAAATGTTACTAGGCCCCGTTCGCTGGTATAAATTCTGGCTGAAACTGGCTGAAAAACACTGTTCTGGCTGAATTATTGTGAGAGAAAAACACTGTTCCGGCTGAAAAAATAAGCCGAACAAGCCAAATTTAAGACAAGTGAACGAGGCCTATCTCCTGAGCGCTGGCTCATGACGGTAAGAACCTTTTTTTTCGAAAGACCCGTTACCGGCTTTCATCGATAAGAGGAGAGTAACTAATTACAAGTGTTTTGGCGCAAGAGGCGCCCACCTTTTTTATGGCTTCACCAAAATAGTGATGCCACACCACCCCTAAGCTTTATATAGTCAGCTTACATAAGTATTATAGCAGTCATTCTTTGACAAGTAATTCATCTAAAACATATGGCCGGCAGTCGCACTGCCCTGCTGCTGCACCGTCGACGGGATTATAATCTCTACGCCACTGTTACCTGCACGTATCCACATCCTCGCTTCATCTTGGATCGCCCAGAATAGTTGTTGTGGTGACCTGCTAGTTCTACCGAAAACTCGATTGTTTCTTTCTTTCCGGATATCCCAAACGGTCAGCATGGTGACTGAACGGACGCCTTCTCTCTTGGCTCCCTGGCCACTGTTTCCCATGTCAATGAACCACTGACCGAAATCCACCGTTTGGCTCCAGTTAGCCGGCTTCAACGCTGGTGCCGAGATCCATGAGCCAACCTTTTCCCAAATTATTCTTGAGAAGCAACACTCTTGGAGCAGGTGGTACATCGTTTCAAGATTTCTAATACATAACGGGCAGAAGTAATCATTTGGCCATCCCCTGATCTGCAATCGCGTTGCCGTCCAAACTCTATTCTGGAGCATCAACCAAGAGAAGAAGCGGCATTTCGGTGGTGCTTTTGTTGCCCATGTAATATCAGCTGTCATGGACTTAGTCGTTCCAATGAACTGCAACTGATATGCAGACTTTGCCATGTATTGGCCATCCGCAGTGTGGCGCCAAATTATTCTGTCATCCTCTGATGGTCTCAACTCAATGCCCTGTAGTCTTTCCCATAAGGCCACAAATTCTGTTATTATGTTCACAGTCATGCTATGATCCACATCTCGAACCCATTTGTGGTCAGTAATGGCATCCTTCACCGACCTATTATTTCTTTTGCTGTGTTTGAATAAGGCAGGGAAGAGTGTTGCAGGCGCCTCTCCTAGAAACCAGCGGGAGGTCCAGAAGATAGCCTTCTCACCGTTTCCAATTGTCACACTAGTTGCCGCATTGAAGAGAGCTATATCCTGCTTGTCCACTGGCAGCTCCAAGCCTCTCCACGATCTGCCTCTTTCATCCCAATAAAACCAAAGCCAGCGCAATCTTAAAGCTCTACTGAATCTTTCCAGTTCGATGATACCTGCACCACCGTTTGGAGTTGGCATACAGACCTTGGTCCACGCTATCTTGCAATTTTCCCCAGTCAACTCTTTGTCACCTGCCCAGAGGAACCTTCTTCGCAGCTTGTCAAGCTCCTTCATAAATTTTTTTGAGGCTTTGACCACCGTTAGTAAATATACAGGGAGGGAGCTGAGGACTAAGCGGATCAGCTCCCTCCGTCCAGCCACATTCAGCAGGCGCCCTTGCCACCCTTCCACTTTGGCCTTAGCTCTGTCTTGGATGTATTGGATGTGAACCATCTTCAGCCTGCCAAGTGTGAGTGGACAGATTCAGGAAACATTGTTTGTGGAGAGGGCAGATGAAAATAACAGAATTAATGCTAAAGCAGTATGGCCTCTTGTTACAAGATCAAAGGATGAAGGTGGCCTAGGTGTTCTAGATCTCAAAAGTCAAAATGAAGCACTCTTGTTGAAAAATCTTCACAAGTTCTTCAACAGGGCTGATATTCCATGGGTTCATCTTGTTTGGGAGAAGCATTATAAAAATGGAAGACTTCCAAATCACATTAAACGAGGCTCTTTTTGGTGGAGGAATATACTGAAGTTATTGGATAAATTCAAGGGTATGGCTTCAGTTTCAGTTGCAGATGGCTCCACCTGTCTACTTTGGGAGGACTGTTGGCAGGGGCAGCCTTTAAAGTTAGCCTTTCCTAAGCTCCATTCCTTTGTCAAGAAGCCTGCTATCTCCCTCAAGACTGCAATTTCAGTTGATTCACCTTCAGACCTTTTCCATCTTTCCCTGTCTGAGGAAGCCTTTGGGCAGTTTCAGCAGCTGGAAGGCCTCTTCCAAAATCTTCATTTGACCATGACAAATGCTGCTGATGTGTGGAGTTACATCTGGGGGAACTCTCTATTTTCAACAAAGAAAGCTTATTGCCAGTTGAGGGGATCAAAATGGTCACATCCTGTGTTCAAATGGTTGTGGAAATCTTCATGCCAACATAAGCATAAAGCTTTCTTCTGGTTGCTCTGTCAGGATAGGCTCAGCACTAGAAACATTATAAGAAGGAAAAAAATTCATCTGCCTTCTTATAATTGTGTGCTGTGTTCTCATAATCTGGAGGAGACAGTGAGCACCTTTTTATTTACTGTGATCTAGCTAGAGAATGCTGGGGCCTGATTGGTTTGACAGTTGGTGTCTACCCCAACCCATATAAGATCTTTGAAGACTTCAGAGTTCAGTTAAATGTGCCCTTCTTAATGGAAATTGTCATAATCATGTACTGGAGTATCTGGGCTGTGAGGAATGATGTGATCTTCAGAGGAATTCCTGCGAGTAGCCAAAGATGTTTGGCAATTTTCAAGCTTAATTTTGGCCTCCTTCTGTGGATAGCCAAAAAGAAATTCTTCCGCCTGATTGAATCATGGCTAGAGCAAACTGTGTAATCAGCCTGATTTTCTTTGTTACCTTTTTTTTGTCTCCTGAACCTCCTCCTCCCTTTCTTTGCTCCTGTTGTAGTCTGCTACTTTTTGTTTTGTTTTCTTTTTGTTTGGCTGTAACCCTCTTGGTTATTTTAATAAAATTTCAGTAGAGGCTCCTGAGCCTCTCCTGTTCTCCTCAAAAAAATAAACTCTAGGACCAGGGAAATCTTGGAGCACAGAGTCCATGTCAATACCAGCACATCTAATCATTGCCACGGTGCTCTTTTGCATATTGATTCTCATACCTGTAGCTTCACCAAAGGCACTCATGATCTCCATGATGCATGAAACGTCCTCCTTTCTTGGGTTAGTGAAAATCACCCCATCGTCCGCATACATGGAGATCCGTAGGCTTGCGTGTCTACCTTTCAGCTTTGACAGAGATCTTGCTGTGTTGCAACCTCGAAGATGTTGTTGAGTATATCAATGGCCAAGATGAAAAGGTATGGTGACAGTGGGTCACCCTGTCGGAGTCCTCTCAAATGCTTGATTCTATCACCCGGGCATCCATTCAGCATGATGGAGGAGGAGGAGGTTCTGAAGATTGTTGCTAACCAGTCTAGCCATCTTGTCGGGAAACCTCTTCTGCCGAGTAACTCAAGAAGGTATTCCCATGATACTGAGTCGAAGGCTTTTGTTATGTCGAGTTTGATGAGGCAAGCAGGCGTCTTTGTCCTGTGGTAGTGTCTTGCTAGTCCCTGGATGTGCATGTAATTCTCTTGGATGCATCTCTTCTTGATAAATGCGCTCTGCACATTGGAAATCAGCTTATCGATATACACGGACAGCCTTATTGCCAGCACCTTCGTTAAAAGCTTCGCAAATGAGTGGATCAGGCTAATTGGTCTGAAGTCCTTCGGCTCAGTTGCCACCTCAATCTTGGGGAGCAGCACTACCTCAGCACGGTTTAGGTGTTCCAATGCCCCATTATGATGCATATTTTTCTCGAACGTGCCATTGGCACCCCCATTGTGATGCATATGGAAGGCATTGAAGGCCATGAGGATGTCAATTTTGATTATGTCCCAACATTGCTTGTAGAAATCGTTGGTGAAGCCATCGGGGCCAGGGGCCTTCTCATTTGGTAGACCTTTCACAGCATGCTCGATTTCACTCTCTGTGAACGGTCTGTCCAATTCCAGACCCGACAGCTGCTGCAATGGGTTCAGTTGAACGCCTGGCCAGTTGAAGGTTCTTTGCCTTCGTTCCTTCCCCATCAGGTTTTCGAAATATTCCTGTAGGACCTTCTGTTTGTCATCGTGGTTCCAGGCCAAGGTGCCATCCTGTTTTTTGAGCGATAGAATGTATTGTCTTCGTTTCCTGGCGGACATCCTCAAGTGGAAAAATCTAGTGCATGCATCCCCAGACTTTATGTAGTTGATTCTAGATGCCTGCCTTCTTCTGCTTCTCTCTAGTGCCGCTAAGCCCAGTATTCTGATCTTGATGTCCTGTCTCAAGGAAATTTCCTCGCTTGAGAGGCTACGGTCTTCCTGAGCTATGTCCAGTCGCAATATAACCTCATTTGCAATATGTAGCTGTAGTCGTGCATTGCTGAACAGGGGCTTACTCCATGCGCGTAGAGCTCGTGCAGTCTCGGCTAACTTCTTACTCAAAATGGTATGCGATGATCCCGTCTGCGGCTTATCCCATGCTGCCTGCACCACTTCTCTGAAGCCTTGGACTTTCAACCAATGATTCTCGAACTTGAAGCAGGCCTTTCTTGACATCCGGTCTTGACGGTTTAGTATGAGCGGGCAGTCTGGGAAAGACACTTCCCACTGCGCGGTGCAGAAGTGTCGGGTTATAACCTCAGGGTGTCTCAATGCATCGATTAATTAGTAGGCCATGCGTCCTGCAACATATCAGCTAGCAAATGTCCGAATGACCGAGGCCCAGCTAAGCTAAGCAAACCAGGCTGGATGATAAGGCTGGGGTCAGCCACGCCTCCTCCCTCCTGCCTTAGCCGCACGGCCCTCGAAGGGTGCACGACCTCTCTCCCGTCACGACCTCTGAAAGGAACGGGGACAGGTCGAGCCCAGCCAAGCGTGCCTGCTCTGACAGGAACAAGCACGCCGCACTGATCCCGCAAGGACTGAGGGGACAGCGGTCACCTTGATCCGGTCAGACGCCATCCCTGTGCCACACTACATAGACAAGACAACACTGCACGGCGGTGATGACCGGTACGGAGCCCACTGTCCAAATACGGTCCGACAAGACGCAGGTACGATTCCACCCACTACGAGATGAGATCCACGACGAGAGCCTTGACTTAGAGGGCATCCAGACTGATGGGAGCCACGACCCCAACGATCAGGATCGAGGCCCTCAGCTATTCAAGCCAACAAGATTATCGACGACCTGGGGCAGCTACCAACTCCCGTACGACACCCCAGAAAACCAGGAGACGATGACGAAGACCACGGCGGATACCATGTCGCACAGGACGGCTGCCGCACCACCACCGTGCCTACAGTACCACCATGGCCTTCACAATAGCACCACACCACACCCTGGCGCGACATGGCCACAAGAACATAACGACAATCACGAACCTACTCGGGCTCACGAGTTAGCTAGGCCCCCCTCAGGCTCACGACCCTTTGGTCGGAGGGGGGAACCTACTGCTTTGTATATGCCCTGGCCCCAAACTGTATATAAGGGCAGCCAGGGCACCATCTCCAGGGACATGATTCACATCCTCTACCATTTCATTCATTCTCTATAGTATTAGGGCTCCTGGAGCTTCTCTTCGGGCAATCCATTTTCTAGCTCTAGCTCTCCATCATCTTCCACCATTCATGCACCCTCATTGTAAGAACTTCAGAGCATTCAAGCGATGAACACGCACTCGATCATCTCTGAGACTGGACGTAGAGCCCCGGCCTGAACCAGTATAAATTCTCGTGTCTTTTAGATGCTACCATCGTCTTTCTAGAGCATGGCTTCTGCCCGGTTTACGAAACACCGACAAGAAGGCTCTGTCTAACCGCACCATGGCTTCTGCGGCTAATAAGCCGAATAATGCTGATTTGTTGTGAGAAAAATACTATACCATAATTAATAAGCCAGGCTAATAAGTTCAAGCAAATAGGGCGTAAGTCGGTAACAGAACAAGAGAGCTAGGAACAAAGCAGAGAGAAGAGATGGGTGAGAGGTGACTGGTGAGGCTAAGGTTCCTAATTTTTCCTATGTTCTTCGTTACTTGGACTTCCTATGTTCTTCGTCACTTGGACTATGCTGGGCCTTGCCCGATGTTTTTGTCTTCCAGCCCACTCCGCAAGGCCTGTCACTTGGGCTGGCCAGCTCTCCAACATTCAGCCTATCAGACAATCTGATGCTGTTGCTCAAAAAAAAAAAAAAAAGAGACAAATCTGATGCTAGCGCGCTGAAATTACAGAGAAAACAGAGAAAAGGATTCATAGAATTACAGAGAAAAAGGAATCAGAGAATTACACTACATCATCAGGCACATATAAAAGATCACCTGGTGCAATTCCAACACTCATGCTCAAGTTCAATAAATGAATCGTACATCAACAATACCAGGCCACGTGGAAGCTTTGCCAACAAAGTATAGACAGCCGGCCTCATATATATCAAATCAACTACTACAGCAGAGCTTCCATCTCCCGTGTACCGTGTGCCTTCTTCAGAATGTTGGACCTATATGATGTGTCAAGCTAACTATTCTCCAGCGTACCAATACCAGAGAGCCTCCCAGATGATATGCTATGCTCCCAGTCCCAACTTCACAGTGCAACTTGCACTCTGTAAAAAGGGAATACGGGACTGGGTGACCGATCGGCGTTATCGAATCCTGCAGATGATGCCCCAACCTTAAGCTCAGGGGAAAAAGAGCTTGGAGTAGAGCAGCTCGTTCCATGTGTCCTGGAGCCCTGGCAGGCACCAATGCGTGCAGTCCGCATAGCTCTTTTGGGTTCGCGATCTGCTCCGGGGTTAGCGGGTTCCACTGCTTCTTGTAAATCTGAGTGTGCGCGTCCTTCCTGTATTCAGAGAGCTGGGTGATGTTCACAACCCCCACGGGGATCTTGGACGCGCCGAACACTTCCCCAATGACTCGCATCAGGCCCTTGCTTGTGCCTGGTCCCCAGTAAGACAAAGCCTTGATAGGAGTTGTCTGGTTGTAGCAGTTCCGTCAGTATCATCACCCCAATCTTTGCTCCTATATTAACAAGAGAACAAACCCGTATTAATCGTAGCCATGCCATATATGTGTGGTTCTTCTGAAACTAGAATCATAGAAAGAGGTTGCTGCATTCACGCTAGCGGCTTACCTTGTATGAGTGGGTGACATAGTGACAAAAAATACTCTTGAAGTTTTGGGGTTCATGTTGCTCTCAACCCATTTCAGCACAGCATTCAGTACCATTCCATAGGCATCCTCAGTTTCCATTTCTATGATATCCTTGTTTTTATCTTCAAAAGAGTTTTGCCTGAAACCAAACGGTGCTTGGATAAGAAATATGGGACTTCATGCCGACTACAGAAAATAGACATTATTTCTTCAAACTGTCAATTCCACGGCCTATTTTTCAACTATGAGGAAATTTCAGCTAGAAACAGATGGTGAAAAAACTTGGCATAGTAAAGGAAGACACTTACAAAATTTTCATCTTTTGTCCGGTCATCCACCAAAGGTAGGTATTGAATACTATTATGTCAGCCCCCTTCCAAAATTTGGCATGTTTCTCAATGGATGTTCCTCTTACAATTCGATCCACAACACGGTGCACAACAGCATCGTCAGAATTTGACTCAGCCAGAAAGGGAGCCCAGTAGAACTCAATGGTGGCATTATAGTCCTAGCAAACGTGAAACATTAATTTTTTCAGCATGGATGAAACTAAAGAAGGATGTACCTCAAAAGCTAGAAAAACAGATACTAAAGGCAAAGATGCAAATAAAATAGATTTTATTTCCTTCTACCAGTATATATATAAAACATTTATGAATCGGAGTCTTTTTCTGAGGCAAAATTTGCAAGGGAAGATACTCTACTGGACAAATGTATTGATGCATCAAGAATAAAAAGTTACTGTACAAGGAAAAAAAAAAGGAAAAGAATGTACAAATGCCTGGGTAGAAAGTTTAGCAAAGATATATTTGGTGATCACAGCTGGTCCGTTGAACAGCGAAAAAAATGATGCACCAGATTCTGAGCAATGTGCCCATGCTTCACTCTGTTTCTAAGCTTTTCATTTGTCACACTAAAAGATACAAATGGAATACCTTTGCTTTGAAAACTGTAAGGGAATCAAATGTCTCCATTGACTTGGAGCTCTCAGGGATGCTTCGATGCAGGAGGCAAACCAATGATACATATTGCCCACGGTTCAGAGAATCTCCAACAAACAGCATTCGTTTACCCCGCAACATCTCTAGCATTAGAGTTGCATTGAAGCTGCAACAGAAGATATTTTCCAGTAAGATACCGTGCATCAAAAGATGATTAATTACTACAAAAACTGCACAGGACAGTTAAGAAGCAGATTGTATTCCATTGCAGCACTGATATAAGACATTGCTATGCACAGTTCCAAAAAGAAAATAAATACCACTATGATAAAAGAATGCCTTAAATTGTTCTACAAATATTTACTCGTGACTCCTAATAACTAATCGCTGGCAACAATGACCTCTATCTGCATCTAAGTCGAATGGGGTTTTCTTTTTCATAAATGTGACTTATATCTTCGCATCTAAAAATACCACTGTTAGTACTTAGAAGTATAGATATCTCAGTTAAAAATACCTTCATAAACAAAATGCATCACCTACAAATGTAATAGATTTAGACCTAGTATTGTAATCCAAGTAGACTTAGGGGTGTTTAAATCCAGGGGCTAAAGTTTAGGGGTGTCACATCGGATGTCACATAAGGGTGTCACATCGAGTGTTCGGATAGTAATAATAAAACAAATTACACAAGTCCTCAGTAATCCGCGAGACGAATTTATTAAACCTAATTAACCCGTCATTAGCACATGTTTACTGTAGCACCGCGTTGTCAAATCATGGATTAATTCGGCTTAAAAAATTCGTCTCGCAAATTAGTCTCAATCTGTGCATTTAGTTTCGTAATTATTCTATATTTAATACTCCATGCATGTGTCAAACATCCGATATGACAGAGGCTAAAGTTAAGGAGGGGAAAATAAACACAGCTAAATGTCATACTAGATATGTAGGAGTATCAATTATGCTGACTATATTATGAACAAAATGTATCCATATAATAAGCTACAACAGTTCCCTAAACTCCATGGCACATACTGTACCAACCTCAGGATCCCCAAGCGTCACATCAATCAATCAATAACATAATAAGAGTTTTGAAAGCTGAGAAAATGAGGTTGGATAGAAACAAAGCACCAAACCGCACAGGAAAGCACCAAAACTGGCACGGAGACCGCAGTAGTAGTCGTGGTCGATCTAAGCGGAAGTTGTAATCGAATAAGTTTGTGGGGGAGTCCCTGAGCGGGTAGCTTTTGGTCTTGGGAGCTCATTTAGCCATTTTCGTGATGAAATTACTTTGTAAGTGGTGAATTTGTGCAAAGAATGAACAAATTTTTTATCTTTTGTCGCGGCAAACATTTTTTCAGTTTCTTCCTCTTCGGAGGAGGTTTCGGTGTCCTTTAATCCTTCCCATGGTTCAAGTTCGTGAAAAGACTAGGGGTATAGGTGATTTAGTCCTGATTTATGC